TTTGAAGGGGAGGGGAGCAATGTCAGGCCCAGGGGGAGGGAACATCAGAGGGAGCCATTGGAAAAGCCTCTGTAAACATTGAGGGCTCAGTTTGGGTTCAGCTTCCTGCTTCCGGTCTCAGGGAAGGGTGAGGGGCATCAAAAGCCAGTTGCCTCCTCGATTGCAGGCCAAGGGAGGTCCCCAGCAGTGGTGGGTGAGGGGTCAGGCACACCCCCAACCAGACCCCAACGCAGAGTCACACTCACTCACACACACACACTCGTCTTCCAGCTCCATTCAGCTCGCTGCCTCTCTGGTGCCGTTCTGGTCTCGGCTCTTCTGCGGATGACAGTCGGTCTGTGAAGAACCCTGTAACCGAGCGACAGGAAGAGAGACACGGTGACACAGGTACGGGCTGCCCCTCTCGGTGGTGGTAAAGTCTGCCCCGACCCCCCTCTCAGCCACGTCTCCAAAGTCTTCGCCCGGGGTGGGAGAAACAACTTGGGGCTGGTGCGACAGGAGCTGAGGGGTGAACGGTATGTCCCAACCATTCTGCGCGGTCTCCAGCTCGCACAGTGACTGTCCTGCCCCAAGCCCAGCCCAAAACGATGAACACCTCTTTCTGGGTGCAGCACTGTGAATGTCAGTACTGGCAGAACACCGTAACATTCAGGAAGCAGCTGACTCAGCAGGTCGCTGCAAACAACGCAGGCTGGACATCGGGGATGGGCCCCGTGCTCCCACTCCCCGAGGTGGGGGTGGGGAAGAGAATAAAACAATTCAGGACTCACCCAACAAGTGTAGGGGTCACGGTCGATGGGACAGGACAACAGAGAAGGATGTGGATCAGCCCTGCCTGTTTTAAGCTGGGCTCACAAGGGGGCGAGTAACAAACACTGGCTCTGTCAGTGGGAATTCAGGGATGAAGCTCCAGGAGGCTGGACATACGACTAAATGTTGGTTTCAGTGTCCACGCAGGGTTCTGGGAGCTCTACAGGATCAGGAGAAGCCTTGCGCCATTAACAGTCCCGGCTGAAGGAGACCCATAAGCAATGCTTGCTTGGTGCAACCAATTAGCCCCAGCCTGATGAGACTTTCCTGATCATTATAACCCTCGCAGTGCTTCTACAGTTAAAACATTAATTTTTCTCTCCCCCTATGAGGTGTTGAGTGCATGCACCATGGTGTGTCATGTGTATACACGAGGTGTTGAGTGCACGTGTGTATATTTGTGTGTGTGGGTGTGTGTCTGCATGCACATGTTGGAGAGTGTGTATTTGTGCACGATTGTGTCTGTCTGTCTGTGTGGGGCACGTTTTGTGCGTGTGTGCGCACATCCGAATGCGAGCCTGCGTGTTCAGGGTCAGATCCGGGGTGGCACCGTGATGACTGAGGTCACTCCAGACGTACATGGGTTGGAGTGGGTAGAACCCGCTCCCACGACAGGGCGGTCTGGGCAAATAGAGCTTAACCAAAGGAGTTGCTGGGGAAGCTGGATAAACCCACAAGGGAGAAAGAAGCAGAAGGAGCTGACATGGAGCAGAGCTGATGGGCTGAAGGGCCTGTTCCTGTACCGTACTCCCTGAGTTTTATAGTGCCAGGGTCCCAGTGACTGTGGGTGCGAACTCACCTGGCTAGCTGCTCCTGTAGCCCTGGTGTTTATACGGCCAGTCTCACTGGGCCGGGAACCGCTGGGTGGGAGGCGCTGCCGAGAGGTGAGCTCACAGCTTTCCCGATGAGGCTGGCCCCTCCCTGACGGTCCGTCTACCAACTCTGGGTTCCCAGCTGACGGCTCCCCGGTGCCCGGCGCAGAGTCTAACAGCGGAGAAGGAGGGCACTGCAAGTCATCTCCAACCACGTCCAGGCAATCCTAACGGAGAGAGGGGGAAAGACAGAGGGGAGAGAGAGAGAGGGGGAGAGAGAGAACAGCACATTGTTAATAGAGAGACAGGGTGGGCTGGGGAGGGGGTGTGGGTGTGGAGGAGAGCGAGACCGGGCGAGGGGAACAGGAGGGGTTAAACGAGATTGACGGGTGAACGAGACAGAGAGAGGGGGCGGGAACAGAGACCGGCACATCGTTAACAGCGATCAAGACACTGAGGGTGGGCAGGAGCAAGAAGGACAGAGAGGGAGACATGGAGGAGGAAGTGAACTGGTGGGATGGGGCAGGGAGGGAGACAGACACACACACACAGAGGAGAGAGAAAGTGGCACACAGTGAGACAGAGAGAAACACGCACAGATAGAGAGGCAGACAGACTGACAGATAGGGGGATATAGAGGGGGAGAGAGAGAGAGACAGGAAGTTGCAGATCCACAGAGACGATAACAGTGTGGGTATCCGACAATCGATCACAGCCTGCTTTCTGACACGTGTTGCACACTGACTGGACCCCATTCCGGAGATTCCCGCCCGATGCATGTCGCTCCCTATCGAACCGGCTGACTGATGGGGAGGATTCCCAGGAGAGCCGACAGACCACAGGAAGCAGAGAGAAGGGTGACACCCGACCCCCACATTCCTCTTGGCTCCTGTTTGAAACCCGCGGCTACGGTAGAGCCGCTGGCCTTGATTCAGGGCCTGGTCAACCCCCCCCTCACCTTCGCTGCACCATTGGTGGCGGGGGGGGATACTCACATCGCTGAATTCCAGGGGCAGGATCTCGGTGGGTTGTAGCTCTGCCGCACTCAGGTACATGTCGGAGGTGCCACCTCCCAGCTGCTCGGAGGCCCAGGAGCCTGCCTCGGGGCGGTACATCAGAGGGGGCACCTGGAGGTGGAGTGGACAGCGTGGCTCCTCGGACAGGCACACCATCACCGGCTTGGCACAGGGCACCTCACTCAGACCCGGGCACGTCTTAAACAGCACCTGGCTCGGGTCCTGCAGGATGTCTGGGGAGGTCAGTGCCCAGTTAAGGAGGAGATAAAGCAGTGATGGTACATACAGCTCCACTCTCACCCGAGACCACAACTGTGGGCACTGCCAGGCAATGTGTCTCTCTCTCGCTCACTGTTTCTCTCTGATTCTCACCCATCACTTCTCTCTCTCTCTACTTCTCCCTCTCTCCCCCCTTCCCGTTTGCAACTTTTATATCTCTCGCCCGTGACCGCTCTCTCTCTCGCCTGTGACTGCCTTCCTTCCACCCCCTGCCCGAGACCATCTTCCACACCGCTCCAGCTGCCAGTTTGCTGTTGAATGTTGCCTGCTTCACGCTCCAGCGCGTATCCCAGCGTTATTCCTACACTACCCCCTTCCCTTCCCCTTGGCCATGAGGTAGCTGTCTGCAGTTCACAGGGAGGTGAGGGATGTGGTCCTGGCTGGGTGGGGGTGTGAAAGGTTGGGGATGGAAGTGAGGGGGGGTGGAAGTGTGGACAGAGAAGGACTTAGCACAGTCTCAGAATAAAGGGGCACCAATTGAAGACAGAGACGAGGAGGAATTTTTATCTCTCAGACGTTATGAATATTCTGTATGTAATTGTGTGATATATATGAAAGACCAAAAGTTAGATTCTTGAGTTATGAGGAGAGATTATACAAACTGAGCTTGTTTTCCCTCCAAAATTTAAAAGTTTAAATGTTGACAGATAATGAGTTAATTAATGTGTTAAGACCAATGCTGCCTAAACCTATTCTGGTCACATTAAGGACAGAGGGTTGATTGGAAGATACAGCTAGCTCCTTCCAGGGTGGTGGGGTTGTGTGCCGGCTGGGAGCACGGGATCACAGGAACACCCAAGTGTGCAGATGGACTGGTTGGTCTTGAGGAGCAGGAAAGGATACGGGACGAGCAGTGTCGGCTCATTGGGAGCGAGGGAGCTGAGCATCGGGCACCTTCGGTCACCGCTGTACATCTCTGGGCCGTGCGGACAGAGGCCAAGTGTACCTGCACAGGGGAGGGGAGGGGAAGAGAGGACAGAGAACAACACATCATTAGAAGACAGATACAGACAGAGTGACAGTGAGCAGGACCAAGATGGATGGGTGGAGGTGTGTGGGGGGAGAGACAGACACAGAGAGAAAGAGAGATAACAAAACATCAAACATGCAGGGGGAGAGAGATGGGGATAGAGCGAGAGAGAGAGAGACAGAGGGAGAGACAGAATTAACGAGACATGCACACACACATATGCTGGGATACAGAGGCAGAGACAGACACACACAGGGACAGACAGCAAATTAGCAAAAGGCATACAGGGGACAGGGAGACACATGCAGGGATAGAGACAGACAGAGTCACACGGGCATGGAGAGTGAGGGACAGAAAGACAGCAAGTGACAGAGACAGGTAGTGAGAGAGGATGCAGACAGAAACAAAGAGACAAAGAAAGGGAAGCAGACAGAGACACAGGAAATAGTCCATTAGTTTAATAGTTGCACAGCTTTAGAGAAAGGACCTGTCCCATCAACAGGGGGCCAGGTACACACACGTACCCATACAGCCCGACACAGACCCAAATCCACACAGACACACAAACACACCTGCACACTGTACAGAGAACAACACGCCTACAACTATCTAGATGTGTACACACAGGGGCTTACACACTCTGGTTGCACCCTACCCCCCCAGTTACCTGCTGTGTAGTTCCTTCAGTCGCCAGCAAGCGGCGCTCCTTGAGCTGGTGGTGCAGCAGTGCCTCTGCGCCATACCGTTTACGGTAACGTCTCAGGGCCCTCAGCTTCTGTAGGTCAGCACGGCTCCGAGCAGAGGCAGCTTCAGGATCAGTCAGCAAACCACCAGCTGGCCCAGTGCGGAAATCGAGGGGGGAGGGAGAGAGACAGAGAGTTATCAAATTACTCCATGGCTACTTAACTGTCTCACCCTGCCCTGGTCTCTCTGCTGCTTCCTGATTTAATACTCACCGAAGCTCTCTCGCTCCAGTCGGCAGGCCTGCAGGTACTGTCTTCTCTTCTCCTTTAGCAGGTACTGGAGCCGCCTGAACTGGTCAATGTACAGGGACTGCAGACGGATCAATTTCTCCCTCATAACCAGGGCCACCTCCTCCGCTGTGTATACACCGGCATGCCTGCTCCACACAGCATGGGGTCATCGGGGAGGTGGAGACAGACAGAGGGGGGG